AACCAAGGCCCCAGGATCACACCTGCAGTTGAACAAGTTGAGTTTAGGACTAGTTGCAGTGAGGAGAACACACAGGTGTGGAAACATGGGGGTCCCCATGAGGGGGTGTCAGGGAGACTTGGTATAACATTTGGGCCAATAGGGGACCAGGGGAGGGTTTATGGAAGGAGGGCTTTGCTTTGGATCAGATGCTGTCAGGAGGGAGTGAGGTGTAACTGGACACTCACAGCCAGGACAGGGGATGTTTGCTGGTTGCTGTGGACTGGACACTGTGCATGTGTTATTCTGTGTTCAGATCAGATGACTGAGTGATCTTGTTTGGTCCTGACCCATCAGGGGAAAAAGCATTCTTGTCTGATGCTGCTGTTCCATTAAATGGTTTATGTCCATCATCATTTCTCTTTCTCAGGGTACAACTCTGGCTTGCACAGGAAGGAAGGTGGGGGTGGGAGGTCCTAGCTGTCTCTCTGCAAGGCCTCCTCAGCCAGCTTCAGTCCCTTCCTGAGACCACAGGTGCTCTTAAGAAATCCCTCCCTACCGGACTGGGTTCTTTTTCAAGGGTCCACAAGGGTCAGGCAGTGTCACATCATGGAACAGTCTCCCCTTCACAGCACAGGTGGCAAACAGCTCCTTATGAACCCTTCCTGCGTGATCTAGTGGGGTGTGCCCTATTCCTGAGGGGACCCTCCCCAACACAGAGGCCTCTCCATGACTCAGGCTCCCTCTTCCCCAGCCCTGGGCTCTGATCTTCACATTGAAATGAATGACAATGAAGATGGAAGAATCCGTGTGGAGTGCACGTCTGCAGGCTGGTATCCGCAGCCCCACATAGAGTGGAGAGGTGAAGGGGGAGAGAGCTTGCCCGCCATGGCAGCGCCTGAGGCCGCAGATGGAGAGGGTCTGTATGCAGTCATGTCATCTGTGATCCTGAAAGGTGGTTCTGGGAAGGGGGTCTCCTGTGTCGTCAGAAACCCTCTGCTCAGCCAGGAGAAGACAGCCAGTGTTTCCATTGCAGGTGAGTGCCCGGCCCCACATTGAGCTCAGCTGTGGCCACTGGGAGGAGGCCTGACTGTCTGCTGCTGACCTGGGTCTGTGGAGTGAACATAAGGTTCAGAGCAGGGACCTGGATGCCCTTTGCCCCATGAAGCTGTTTATGTCACAGACATTTTGTGAGCATCTCTGCTGCCACCCCATTGGGACAGGCAATGGGGATGGGGAAATTGTAAAGGTCAGCAAACACATGACAAAGTGGGGAAATATGTGCAGACATGTCCCGTAGAAAGGGCTAATCTCAAAATATAAAATAGCTCAATAGAGAAATGATTGGCTCCTAGAAGAACCTTTTTGTTTGGAGTTTTGTGTGCCTCCTGGACTTATAAGTCTATTTCTTTCACCAGGTGGGGGAAGTTTTCTGTCATTATTTATTCAAATAGGTTTTTAGTATCTTGCTTTCTCTCTTCTTCTGGTACCCCCATAATTCGGATGTTGGTATGCTTGAAGTTTTCCCAGAAGCTTCTTACACTATCTTCAAAATTTTGGGTTCTTTTTTCTTTTTGCTTTTTCAATTGAGTGTCTTGCTTCTTTGTATTTCAAATCTTTGACTTGATTCTTGCATTCCTCTAGTCTGCTGTTGGGTCTCTGTATAATATTTTTTATTTCAGTCAGTGTATGTTTAATTTCTAGTTGGTCCTTTTTCATATCCTTGAAAACTTTATTGGCCTTTCCTAGGAAATTCTTGAAAAGCCTTATAATCATGGTTTTGAACTCTATATCCAGTCAATTGCTTTCCTCCATTTCTTTCATTTGTGATCTGTTTCTATGTCTCTGTATTTTAGCTGCTTTCCTGAGTTGGTAGAGTAGCTTTGTGTGGTAGGTGTCCTATATGGCCCAGTGGCTCAGCCTCCCCCAGTTACCTGAGGTGGACACTTTTGGTGCACCCCATTTATGGACTATGTGCATAGCTTTGTTGTAGTTAAGTCTTGATTGTTGTTGGTATCGCTGGGAGGAATTGACCTCCAGGCCAATTGGCTGTATCAGCTATGTCTACACTGGAGAACTTCTGTGCTGGAGACATCCTTATGAGACAAGACTTGCAAAAGCCTCTGTGCTCAGCTTGGATGGGGCGGGGTCTCAGGGCAGAGCAGACCCTTGGCTTCCTGTCAGTCCTGCCTTATGAGGCCCCTGGGTCTCAGTGTCCCTTAGTAATCGCTGCAGGCACCTCTGAGAGAAAGTCCCCCTCAAGTTTCACCCGCTGCCAGACAGTCCAGTTTCTCCCCAAATGAGTCTATTTTCCCAGAAACTCTCTTGGAACTGAGTTCAGTGCAGTCATGAGCTTTCTGTCCATGGATTGCCTCACCAGCTGTGTTTAATTCTCCAATTCCTGGTGGGTGTTATTCGATGCAGCTGTTCTTTCCATCTGCTCTGTGAGAAGTTGCAGGCCCCCTCCATGTATTTGGCTGCCACCTTGTCTCCCCTGAACAAACTTTACAGGTGCCTGTGGCTATGGAGGCTGGAGTCTTGGTGTTTGTGGGCTCACAACTGAGGCAGCTGGTCCCTGGGCATTGTGGTTGTATCCAACTGGGAGGTATCTAAGGTCTCCCTGGTTGAAGGTAAGGCTGGGCTTCTGATCACAGCCACTCTCCCTTACGAGATGGTGTGGTCTCTATGGCAGAGCCAGCCACTCTTGGAGAGTTTTCAGCAGCCCAGCTAGGGGAGCCTGGTCCACTAGTCCCCAGTAGTTCTGTGGAATATAGCTGTCCCTCACTCACACATACAGACAATCCCCACATATCCACACACTTTTATTTCACTCTCACACTCACACACTATCTTGTAGCCTGCCATCATATTGACTGTCATCTTGCATCTTGAAGATATTTATTATTTTAAAATGAATAAACTCTTGCATGGCACTGACATCATGTTAAGGATTCTAGAAGCATTACTTTAATGCTCTGCTGACTAGGACACTGAGAACAGATGGGCTAAGTCATTGGTTCAAGGTCACAGTGCTGCTTAGGCAGAAGTCCCAGAAAGTGACTTTGACCTGCAGCCCCCTAGATCACCTTCTGAGTCAGCAGGTAAGTGACTGATGAGATGAGATAAATTGGGGGGGGGGGGGGAGTATAGAGGAGACTCCAATAACTCCATGTACATTATACTCTAACTATTCCCATGTGAGAGCCAGACATTAGGACACTAGTCTGTGTGACAGGAAGAGTTCTGGGCACTTTGGGAAGAGAAATGTCACTTCCCTTCCCCAGAACTCCCAGGATCCTTCAGGCAAGCAGCTGAGGCTTTCCCTCCGCAGGCTCCTTCTTTTCCTGCACGAAGCCCTGGCAGGTGGCTGTGGGGATGATCCTTCTGGCTCTACTGGGGCTCCTGATTATGGCAGTGTTGTTCTGGCGACAGTGGAAAAGAATCCAGGCCTTGAATCAGGAGAAGGAGAGGGAGCAAGCTGAGAAGCATTTGGAGCGAAGTGCCAAAGGTGAGGCCTGGCGGCAGGTGGGTGGAACCTCCCTGCCCCAGGCTGCCCACCCACTGCAGGTCCCCACCCCACCCCTCCGGATCCATGACAGCAACTTCTTTTCTGCTTATTTCCAGAGAAGCTGCAGGAGGAGCTCAGTAAGTCCCGAATCCCTGATACGTGGGTTCTGGAGTCCCTGGTTACCCACCTTACCCATCACTGACCCCTCCTGTCTCCCATGCAGGGTGGAGGAAGGAGCAGTACCTGGCATGTGAGTACCTGGACCCCATCTGAGACTCTGCTGGGATCTGTCAGGCCCCTTCCTCACCCTTGACCACCCAGGGAAAGGAATAAGGACTCTAATGGGAAGGTGGGCAGGGTTTCCTCCTTGAATAAAGGGGTAAGGCTCTCTCCACCAGGCTCCCTGCACCCAAATGTCCAGGTAACCCCAGAAAGGAGAGTGGAGATGGACTCAGGATGGGAGGTCCTCCCTCCCTGGCTGATTTATAGGATCTATAGGCTGCTGAGAGGAAACCAGAAGCAGAGAGAACTTTCTCTTCAAGAGGAGGGACTGGTGTCAGTTGTCCCAGATTTATCACAACTGCTGAAAAGTGGTGACTGAAATTCTCTCACTAAGTCACCCAATTCTTTTTGGAAATCAGCAGGAAATCATGCAGATTGAGGTGGATGGGTTCTACCACACACATGCATACACGTATGCACACGGCAAGCCTAGCCAGGTACAGGAGGAAGACAGTCACCTCAGATACCAGGGGCACAGGATCCATGACCCCAGTGGGTGCCTGACCCACTGACAGCACCACACCCTGTTTCTCATTGCCACACCCCAATGGCCAGCATCACTGCAGTTGATGGGTCATTACTAAGGAACAGAAGGGGACTATCACACAAGCCCTGTGAAGCTGAGGCTGATCTGACCATAGAGCCGGCTCCTCAGTGACTAAGTGGCTCATGAGAGGAACAGGGGTGGACATGCTGGGCACAGGGATGGTTCTCAGGTTGGCATGTGAGAGATGGATGGCACAGATGTCATCACGCTACTCAGAATGATGTGCAATTTAAAACGTATGAATTGCTTATTTCTGGAATTTTCTGTTTAATATTTTCCAACTATGGTTGACAGAGGGTAACTGCAACTTCAGGAAGTGAAACAATGGTTAAAGGTGACTGCTGTTCAGACAGGTATAGGACAGACCTGCAGGTGCAGCTGGGACAGCCCCATTGGGTGCCTGCAGGTCATTGGGTACAAGTGACCTTAAAGAGGAGGGGAGCAGGGCACTGAACAGGCAGAGGTAGGGAGGTGGGGGGTCAGCAGGAGAGAGAGGAGAGGACTCAAACAAGACAGGTGAGGTGACTGCCTGTCTTCCTTTGCAGGTGACAGGGCTCAGGCCTATGCAGGTGAATGATTTGTGCTCTCGTGTTCCTGGCACCTGTGTACAAAGCCCTTCAACCCTTTCTGTGATGCTGAGACATCATCAGAGCTTGCTCAGAGCTCATGTTCTGTGGAGGACGATCCTGCCTTTCTGCATACCCAGAGAGGACCTTCCAAATACTGCATCCCCTCATCTGCTGACATATGCCCACACCTGGGCAAAGCCTGGCCCCGTCACCCACAGCCCCACTCTGATGGAGGGAAGCCCACATTCTGAGAGCTTTTATGCCCCATCCTCAGAGCTGTGGGGGAAGAAAACTAGATATTGGTGGGAAGGAGAGGGAAGAGGCTAAGTGAGGAAACTGGTGGTGGGAGAAGAGAAATGACTTTTCCTTGCCTGTGTCTCCTTCCTTTCAGAGTGGAAGATGGGCCTTTACCAACCTGGTGAGTAGATGACTGTGTGTTCCCTGGACCAACACACAGGGGCCTGGCTCCCTTTTTCTTCTCCAGCTCTTCACTGGGGGACTTCGGGGTGGGTGGCATTATGTCCCTACACTGTCCTCCCTCCCTGGCTGATTTACAGGATCTATAGGCTGCTGAGAGGAAACCAGAAGCAGAGAGAACTTTCTCTTCAAGAGGAGGGAATGGTGTCAGTTGTCCCAGATTTATCACAACTGCTGAAAAGTGGTGTCTGAAATTCTCTCACTAAGTCACCCAATTCTTTTTGGAAATCAGCAGGAAATCATGCAGATTGAGGTAGATGGGTTCTACCACACACATGCATACACGTATGCACACGGCAAGCCTAGCCAGGTACAGGAGGAAGACAGTCACCTCAGATACCAGGGGCACAGGATCCATGACCCCAGTGGGTGCCTGACCCACTGACAGCACCACACCCTGTTTCTCATTGCCACACCCCAATGGCCAACATCACTGCAGTTGATGGGTCATTACTAAGGAACAGAAGAGGACTATCACACAAGCCCTGTGAAGCTGAGGCAGATCTGACCATAGAGCCTGACCGTAGGGCCTACAGTGTGCCCATGTGCCTCCCAGAAAGCCAGGGACAACTGCTAACTCTGGGCTTCCCCAGGTCTGTGTGGGATGGAGGAGGCATAAGGGGTGGAGCTGGGGGCAGGGGCTGGAGGGAGATGGAAAAGGTGACCTGGCCCAGCTGATGCCCCTTCTGCCCTGAGCCTCCTCAAGGTTGTTCCATGTCTCTGAGTTCCTTTGAGATGATGCTGGCCATTCCTACTTCATTAGGGTAGAGGTAAGACTAGATGAGGTGATAAGTGTGTGTTGGTCAAAACTCTAAGAGGAAAGCTATGGCCTGTTCATGATGAGTGTGTGTCTGATAGTAATGACCAGAGTCAGGAAGTTTCTTAAGACCTAAAAATGATGTAGACAACTCATTATATTATAAGAGACTGTGTTATAGTCATTTACTTGCAGGGGTGTGGGGTTGGTGTGGACAGACTACGTGTCAATCTGTACAGACTATTCAGCACTCATGGACCTGTTACAGTACGTTGTTTTGCAGTACAACTCTGGTACTAATGATTAACCATACAAAGGGACAAAGACTGTGGCAGCACCAGCCATGCCTCCTGTGGTCTTGGTATGGATGATTCTTTATATATATATATATTGATTTCAGAGAGGAAGGGGCAGGTAGAAAGAGAGAAAAATACCCGCAATCTGAGATATTCATTGATTGGCTGCCTCCTGCATATCCCTCCACTGGGGATTGAGCCCCCAACCTGGGTATGTGCCCTTGACCTGAATTGAACTCGGGACTCTTCATTCTGCAGATCCACGCTCCACTTACTGAGAGCTCCATCCACTTAGCCAAACTGGCTAGGGCTCCATTGATTTTTTTACAGAGAGTGAAAGTAAAGGGGAGAGAAACATCGATGCGAGAGACATATTGATTGGTTGCCTCTGCACATGCACAATTGAAGGCCAGGGATTGAGCCTGCAACATAGTTATATGCCCCTGAATGGAATCAAACCAGGGACCCTTCAGCCTGTAGGCTGATGCTCTATCCACTGAGCAAAACCAGCTTGCACGATATCATCAAGTTTGTTATTGTCCTTGGTTGTCATGTCATTCTAGCTGTCACTAACAAAACTATTTATGGCTACATTAAAAAGAATTTAAACAAGTTTTTATTACTTTTTAGGATAACGTAGATCATTTTCCCCCTCAGTCTTCTCATTCTATTTTGTTTTTAATATATTTTCATTGATTTCAAGAGGAAGGGAGAGAGAGAGAAACATCAATGAAAAGAGAGAATTGTTGACTAGCGGCCTCCTGCATGCCACCTTCTGGGGATCAAGCCCATAACCTGAGCATGTGCCCTTGACAGGACCCTTCAGTCTGCAGGCCAATGCTCTCTCCACTGAGCCAAACCAACTAAGGCTATGGCTACATTTTAAGGAACACACATCATCATCGCCCTGAAGGCTTTGGTGTGCCTGCTAAGGACAGTGAGGTTGGTAAAAGGTCACAGCATGAAAAGATGAAGGAAATCCCAGACACAGAGATGGAGTTGGGTTGATTCAGCCACATCTATGCAGTGATTACAAAGGGTTTAGGGGAGAATCTACTTCCAGAGGCCTGGGTGGCGTTAAGGGAAACCACAAGGATGAGCAGTGCCCCAGGCTCACAACAGTGGGAGCTGTCACCACCCCCAGGCCAAAGGCAGAGAGACAGGGAGCAGTCACTGGACACTGAGGAGGCTGGGGCTCAGAGAGAGGCTGCCTGAGAGGAGGTGTGCTGTGTTGGAGCATCTCTATCACAGGAAGTGGGGAAGTCAGAGCTGTGCCTCTCTTTCTCTCCCTCCAGTCCTCAGCCAAAGCCAATAGGTGACCAGAGGCAGCGAGCCCAGTGATGCTGCCCAAGGAGGACAGATTCCTGGGCAAAGAGGAGGGGCAGGTGGGGAGTGAAGGTCACCTAGAGCCCAGCATGGCCTCAGCACAGCAGAGACATGGTCGCTATGATCACACCATATGCTTCCTGGATGCCTGGCCTTGGGCTAAGTGTACTTCACATTCTGTTTTATTGTACTCTAAAGATTAGTCCTTTTATCCCCATTAACTGACATTACAATAAGACTTGTGACATTACATAGTGTGTGTGTGTGTGTGTGTGTGTGTGTGTGTGTGTGTGTGTGAGAGAGAGAGAGAGAGAGAGAGAGAGAGAGAGAGAGAGAGAGAGAGAGAGAGAAGAGAGCGTGCAGAAAAGGAAGTCGTCCAGCTCAGAAGGTAGAGCAAGGGCTGAAATTGGAATCCATGCCACTGTGCAGCACAGGTGGGCACAGTCCTTCTGAGGAGGAAACAGGAGGAAGATAGAAGGAAGGGGCCACTTGAGATGGTGGGTTAGGCAAAACCCAGCCCTCCTCACCCTCCCCTCCTCATTGAACACCAGGCCCTGTGGTTTCTCTTGGCTTTGCTGAGGGTCACACTCAGGGCAGCTGGGTCCCCAGGCTCTGGGCTGGGATCTCACCAGCCAGACCCAAGCCTTGGAGCCTAATGTGCTCAGATCTGGAAACCATGGCTGACCCCTCACCATTGGAACTCTCTCTGCAGAGGACGTGACTCTGGATCCAGACACCTCGCACCCCAAACTCCTTATTTCTGAGGACCAGCGGAGCCTGAACTTTACAGAAACAAGCAGAGCCTGCCAGACAACCCCAGGAGATTTCAGGATCGTTACTGTGTGCTGGGCCGTGAGAGCTTCACGTCAGGCAGACACTTCTGGGAGGTGGAAGTAAAAGACAGGAAACAGTGGCAATTCGGCGTGTGTAGGGAGAACGTAGAGAGAAAACTTTATCCTACACTATCACCCCAGAATGGATTCTGGACAATATCACGGTTTGGTGGGCATGACTTCCAGGCTCGAACACATCCCCGGAGCAAACTCACAATTGCCAATACTCTTGAAAGAGTGGGGGTTTTCCTGGACTATGAGAATGGGGAGGTCTCATTCTATGATGCCATCAATGGATTTCACATCTTCACCTTCCCACAGACTTCCTTCTCTGGGCCTCTCTTTCCATTCTTCAGGATTTGGTCAGAGGAGCCCACAGCCTTGACCATTTACCCAGCACTGAAAGGAGTGGGTAGTTCCCCTGTGTCTGACCCACTGCCTGGCCCTTCCCTGGAGACCCCAGAAGCCTCAGGCTCAGCTGATGGCATTGGGGACCCTCAGGCAGAACTACATCCTTTGCTTCCCCCTATCTAGCCCCAAGCTGAGGGCCTGCATCACAGCAAAACTTCCCAGTAGGAACATACTTACTAAAAACTCACTGAGTGAAGCACTTCACTAATATTCAGGTTTTCCACATGACAGATGAGGAGACCAGGGTGCAGGAAGTTTATTAACTCTCCAAAGGTGACTCAGCCCCCTTCCTGCCACCATAGCTCACACTCACAGATACCTTAGAATGCAGTGGGTGCTGGGCTAAAGGCTTCAGGTGACTTTCACTCACCAATCCTCACAGCTCCCCTGTGAGGTGGCCGCATTGAACATGTGGAAATGGAGGCAGGGCCCAGGGAAGTGACATGCCATTCATGCAGGAAACAGTGCTGCTGGGAGCTGTTTGACCTCTGACCCTCCCTCTACCTCCAGTCTGTTCCTTTGCAGCCAGTTGTTCCTGTTGGGAAGGGTCATGGGCAGCCTGAGGTTCCCTTCCCAGGGCTCCAGGGTAAAGGTCACTGCAAGTGACTGTGAAGGCCACACCCCACCTGGTTCCTTCAAGTGGGAACTGTCAGAGCCATGGCCCCCTGCTCCATTGGTGGCTGGCCATGATGATGTCATCCACAGGATGAATTCACAGTGACCACACCACAGGGGCCTAAGAAGGGACCAGAGGCCACACTCATCACCAGCTTGTGACCTGTGACCATGAAGCCCAACCCACTCCCCAGCTTCATCCTTGAAGCTCACGTGTGAGGCATGAATTGGAGGAGGGAGCCAGGTGCACTGCAGTGGACATTTCTCACGCTTTAGCCCCTTCTCCAGGAAATGGACACTCCACGCTGAGCATGTGTTGATGTTCCTGGAGGTCCTTTAACTGTTGGGTCCTGAGGAAGAGCCTCTCCATCACCATCACTGTGATTGGTCACCACTGTGCCCCCTCCACCCAACCAGTGGTTGTCAGGTTGCATTTTTTATTTTTTAAAAATATATTTTATATTTTACAGAGAGGAGGAAGGGAGAGAAAGAACTAGAAACTTTGATGAGAGAGAAACATCGACCAGCTGCCTCTTGCACACCCCTTACCGGGGATGTGCCTGCAACCAAGGTACATGCCCCTGACCAGAATCGAACCTGGGACCCTTCAGTCCGTAGACCGACGCTGAGCCAAACCGCTTTGGGCCAGTTGCATTTTTAAAATAAATTGGTGAATAATCTTCATTCTGCAAATGAGCTTCTTCTAGACGTTCACCCCACAGTTTACCCACCGCATTTTCACAAAATCATTGTTGTATTAGCTGTGTATGCTGCTGTAATAAAACCACAAACTTCATGACCCAATGCAGCACAGGTTACTTTCTTCACATTTCTGTTGGTGAGAAGTCCAGCGAGGTCATGGCAGGGCTGACACCCAGGTATCTGCAGGCTGAGCTTTCTTGAGCAGTCCGATTCTTGTTAATTCTGGTTGTTGGCAGAATTGAATTTCCTGCAGTGGTGTGACCGAGGGTGACATTCCTTGCTGGGAGTCAAAAGAAGCTGGGAGCCCTCCAGGCCGGGGTGCATCCGGAGTTGTTGTCCCAGGAGGCAGATGTGAGGGAACAAGTCAGATGAAGGGAATGGGGACCAGAGTCCCTATAGTGGAATAACTGCTAGTGGGACTGATGCTCATGTGCTGACTGCAGTGTTGAACTTAGTCAGAAGGTCGCCTATTGTAATGTACCCCATGACTAATACACAGGATGCAGAACCAAATCAATAAGGCATTTAATCAGTAAAGTCAGCGACTGTGAGGGAGATTCAGCTCCAAATCTCATAGCCCCAAATGGCGGGAACATCAGGCTTAATAGGCAAATATCACAAATGTATCAATTACATCTTCAGGTTTGGAATGAGGAACCTGATTTGTAAAAAGCAGTTACAGAAGCTAAATTGAGCAAGTTAGTTATCTACAAAGGTTAATTATAATTGTAGTTCTTGGAGCCACAGAGTCAACAGAAAACATTCCCTGAGCCACTGAGTCAAGGAAAGCAATGTCTGGTTCTGGTCCTCAGGCACAGGAGAATAGCCTTTGTGATGTGAGCTGCAACATTCTGGGTGATTTATGTGGGTTTCCAGGTCTCAGTCTGAAACTGAGGTTACTACCCTATTGTTTTAAGCAATCAGGTGTGTACAGAAGCCAGAATGGCAGGGTTAGAGTTTAAACAGCAGTTTTTACCTGAGAAGAATGCTACTATGCTTCATTGGAGGTCTCCAGAGAAAGCATTTAGGCACAGGTGGGAAATGTTAAGAAATGTTCCATGTGGAAGGTGATTCTAGAAGGTTATTCTGGAAGAAATGTACATGGTGGCTCAATGGGGTCTGTGGGGCCCAGGAAGGGAGCATCGGGTGGGTGTGGGGGTGCTGGGCCCAGCAGACCATCACCTGGCAGGCAGAGCCTTTGCTGGCTGCCATGGTCTCATTCTCCTCCTGAGAGAAAGAAAGGGCTTTGGCCTGCCATTCAGTCGCCCAAGGACTCACTGAGTGTTTTCTGAATGAGTTGCAAGTATCCATGACAACGGCTGTCTGCCTCTGTTCTTTACCCCACACCCCTCCTGGTGTTCCTCAATATCTTCCCTGCCCCACAGAAGTCTACCAACATGAATGAAATTCTTTGGCTTTGGGAAGAAGGTACTTACATTCACCTCAAAACATGCCTATGCCAACCCCAAACACACACACACACACACACACACACACACACACACGACCAATTCCTCCAAAAAGAGCAAAAGGAAATAAAAAGGCCAGGTAATCTCACAAGGCTGTTAGCAGTGCATGTTTCATGCTGAAGCAATTTACTTGTATTCTACCTAGAAATTCGTCAGGAGTAGACTTGGCCCAGGGATCTAGAAATATTTTCTCTTCAAAGGTCCAGTGTTAATAATTTGGCTGTGTGGACCATGGAATCTCCTGCACAGCCCCTCTTGTAGCATAATCTTAAATGGAAGGGTTGGCTGCTTCTAGTAACCCCTCATGTATGGGCTGACATTTGAATTTCATAAAATTGAGACATGGTGCCCAATAAGTTATAGTTTCCTGAGTCTCTAGAATAGAAAGACCACTAGGAGGAGGGCTGCAGAGTGTCACTGACTTCTAAACTCAGGATTTTGTTGTTAACTGAGAAATCTCTATTGTTTAAGCCAATAACACAATCTGACAGGACCCCCCAGGGTGGTGTTTGGAGAGCTGAGGCCTTCAAAGCCTCCAGCCCATTCTCCCTCACCTACCACCCTCATCAGTGTGAGTCTCTCTCTCTCTCCCTCACACATGTGTAGTTAAAATAGGAAGTGAAACAGCTCAGAGATGAGGCTTTCCAGGGGCGATGGTATCACAGCCAAGTTAAATCTAAAGAGGCCTTCTCCCCGACCACTCAGTGGGATTCCCGTCATCTGCTACATTTAGCAACAACTTGGGGCTGACCAAGCTTCTTCTTCATGGGAAACGGAAGACTCGCCTCTCAGGGAGAACCATGTGGAAATGAAGGTGGAGACAGGGCTATGCTCCCTTCACCAGGAAATTCAAAGACTGCCAGGAACCCCTGATGCTAGGGCACAAGTTAGACCACCCTATGGGGATACGAACTGAGAAACAATTATCTGTTTTTGAAGCCGCCCCATTGGTGGCCCTTTGTGCAGCCAGACAGACCCAGGGAACCTACGTGCAGCTGTACAGTAGGTGCCATGGTGTGAGGTGTGGAGTGATCCATATAGAGATGAGGAGGGACTGGCAATAACCCTTAGCCCATGTATTTAATCTTCTGCATCAGAAAATTCTCTGGGCTGCCCCCTGCCCAGTGAAAGGTTCTTAAACATTAACAAGAAGAGAGATACATTGTTCTTTTTCAAAATTATTTAACAATCTATGTCAAACACTCTAACAAGAAGGTAAATGTTTGAAGGTCCAAGTCCTGTCTTTGGACAAAAAAGCAGAACCCACAGGTTGTGGGGCCTAATGTTTAAGCCATAAGACAACCGTCATGGAGCAGTTCTTCTCCACCTGCAGGTCCTGGGCCATTGAAGGTGTATGAAATCAATCTATTACGTAGAGACCAAACTTAAATACACAAGGATGGAACTATGAGAGCATGCAGTATTTATAAATGTGTGTGTCCTCAATTACATTATAAATGGTATTTATTTCTGTGGACCATAGTTTTAAAATAAAAAACAAAGAAGGTTTTAGATTAAAGATATGGTAACTTGGCTGGAGGACCTGGTGGATGGAGAGGTGGGATCCTTTTCAGGAGCATGGGGTGCCGTGATGGGCTGTGGCCTCTAGTGGCAGAGAGGTCTAAAGATTATCTACTGAGAGGTTCAAGGTAGAGGTAGGAGGTGGAGGTTGGAAGGGGGCAGGAACTGGAAAATGGAGAGAGATACTGGGATGGAAGTGAAGGGCAAGGTGGGAGGGAGTTGTGAAGATGAAGAACGCGTCCTGTAGCTCCTGGTCCCAGAATGAAGAGACCCATGGAACTGGTGATTAGGAACCCAACCTGGAGCCTTGAGTCTGATAGATCCTCTCTTCCTCCAACTGATGGAGGGATGTAAACTCCACCTGCAGCCTGACATTCCTGAGCACCGACCCACCAATCAGCACCTGCCAAATACCCTAAGCCCCTGATTCCTAAATCCCTAGGTCTCTAACCTTAGTCTTTACATGAAACCACCAATCAGCGTGTGCTGAGTGTCCTAAGGCCCGTCCCCTCTCTTTCCTCCCCTTAAAAGGTGCATGAACCCTGGCCCTCGCTCTCTTCCTCTCTTTCTCCAAAAGGCAGCCTGCAGTGGTGCTCTTCTCTTCAATAAAGCCTGTGTCCTGGCATCCCGATCTCCAGCCCCCTCTATTTCATCATTCAGAATCCAACTCAATTAACCAGGCCCAGGCGAGGCCTCCTGGACCAGCTGCATCCTGTCCACCTGCAGACCCATGAAGGAGAGGATAAATGTAGATATTATCTCCTGAGACTTCTGGTGATTGTTTTGAGGCATGATTGCATACATGATTGCAGTTTTGAGACATGATTGCAATAAAATGCTGTGTAATACACATACACATGTTGCCCTCATAACAAGCTACTCATTCATATTAATAACAGAGAAGGAGCAAAGGGAAGGCCAGACATAATAACCAAGTTCATCTGGGCAGCCTCACCAGGAAGCTGCCACTTGACACTCCCCAGGGACCAGTCTATTCCCTGGAAATCACTGGGAGAAGGGCTCCAAAAAGGAAGATGGGCACATGTGCAGTGAACACAGGATGATGGAGGAAAGGGGCTTGCCTGTCAGTCTAACCTGGGAACAGAGATCATTGGCTAGAAGGGTGCACCCTAATGCAAGCCCATCAACGTTTGGGAATACATAATCACCAGAATTCTCTCTCTCTCTGGATGCTCCTGCTTGCTCTCCTGTTTCTTCCTTGCTAGTGGCCCTACTAGGCTGCTGTGTGGCCCTAGAAGCTGAAGGGAGCATGGTCATGCAGACCCACATGCCACAGTCTGCAACTGGGAGCACAAGCTCACCAGCCAGATGCTGGACTGGGCATGACTGTGCCAATATGGAGCAGGAACTTTGGGAATGGCTTGAATCCTGGTTCTGCTGAGGAAAACATGGATGTTTTCAGGGCAGAACTGAGCAAGATGGGCACTTGGAAACTCAGGGGTTTGATTCCACAGAAATAAAGCTTTCTGCAGGATCTCGTCCTTCTGTAGGGCCTCAGGAAATGTTTGTTCCCGTGGCACCTCAAGAAATCTACTCCAGTCAGCAACAGGTGGAGACACATAGAGCACCCCACCAATCACACACCCGGAACAAGGTTAAGGTTATTATCATTATATTTTACAACAAGTGCTTTCAAAGAGGGACTTTGCACTTTTGCTCCTCCTGAGCAAGCTTTCTTTCCCCTCCCTTTCCCCCACATCAGAGACTCACCTGCAGAGAAGACCTAAGGAGTGCCTCTGCTCTGTGGTTTTCAGCTAAAAGTGCCAACTGTAAGTGGGGGAGTGGGTGAAAGCCAGGGCACCAGGTCTCTTTCGGAGAGAGGCTGATGAGCTGGGTGAGCCTTCAGGTGAGGACACGGTGAGACCTCGTTGTTAGGGCAAATTAAGGCCTGAACTCAGAAATCTGTGGGAGGGAGACAAGCAGAATGAGTGAGCTTGACACCTGCATGTTCCTAAGAACTTCCTGTGGTCATTGAGGTCTCTGACAGGCTCTCCTTCTCCTCTGTGGGAGTGTGTGCTAAGAAATTCTAAAAGATAGGCTGATACTGAACCCAGGTTCAACTGCCTGCCACTGGAAGACCACATGGAGATCATGGGACTGGTGGGAGGAATGTAGGCTTATTCTAGAGCCTTCAGCTTCAAAAGATGGCAGATTCAGCTGCAAAGACAATTTAACATGGACAGGGGTTTAGTAAGGAAGAGGAGAGGGGGGAAGAACAATAAAGGAATAAAAAGCAGGGGGTTGAGAGTTCTCCATTGAGGGGACAAAGTGTAAGCCAACACAGTGTGTTCAGATCACTGGTTGAAGGTCAGCAAATCTTCTGGAGATGGAATGTCTGAAGGTTGGAGTCTGCTTTTTCTGAAGTTAGCTCCTAGAATTCTTAAGAACAGGCCATTTATGTGCAGGCACACTTACAGAAATAATGTTAAAATAATGGTGGGGTAGGTCACAAGATGTGTGGCTTAAAGATGTATATGAAAAGTTGTTCATTACAGAATTATATGTAATCTAAAATAATCTAAAATAATAAAAGTATAATATGCTAATTAGACAGGCAACGGCACAACAGATGAAGCTGGGGGTGTGAGTGCCGAGCCCTTTGCATGAATTTCATGCATCAGGCCTGTAATATTGTAATATTAAAATATATGAGACAGCATACATGTACAACAGTTGAAGAATGGATAAACAATATATTGTCTGGCAGCAGAGGAGTTTCTAATCCATATGTCTGTTGGCCTTCTGTACCTCCTCTTTAGGTAAATGTCTATTCAGGTCCTCTGCCACCTTTTAAGTTATATTGTTTGGTATTTTGCTGTTAATTTGTATGAGTTTTTTAAAAAAAATAAATTTTAGATATTAAATGTGGGAAGCCACACATTGTCTTTACTATCAGAAGTGTATACAAGGATCCTGGAACACTGGTGACCCTTGAACCTCTGACAAGGGCCAGTGCTATGCACCGATTGTTTAGTCCAGACAATGGGGACTCAAGCTATTTCCTGAACAAATAGTCTCCTAAATCTTTCTAGTATTTACTGACCTTTAGGATAGTTTGTCTGTTACCCCAATTATCTGATTAAGGGCTAGATGTGTATCCAAAATTGAATAAAAGGTTGGCAAGGTCTGAGCACCAGGGGAAATCCTTCCCCTTGAGTTGGTCTTGCCCACCTGGACCCCAGTATTTCCAAATTATTGTTTCTTGTCTCGTCTCTTTCATTTGCATGTGGCCTCTTCAAGAGCCTGAACCCTGAACCACGCAGGGTGTGGGTCATTCACAATTAACTCAGTATTGGATGTACCCTTGGCTAATATATTCTTCCCTTCAGTGGGCTGTCTTTTTGTTTCATATGGTCCCATTTGTTTATTATTCACTTTCTTGCCATTGCCTGAGGACACATATTGAAAAAATATGTTACTAAAAGGAATGTCAGCCGGGACCGGTTTGGCTCAGTGGATAGAGCGTGGGCCTGCGGACTGAAAGGTCACGGTTCGATTCTGGTCAAGGGCATGTACCTTGGCTGTGGGCACATCCCCAGTAGGGAGTGTGCAAGAAGCAGCTGATCGATGATTCTCTCATTGATGTTTCTAACTCTCTATCCCTCTCTCTTCCTCTCTGTAAAAAATCAATAAAATATATTAAAAAAAATAAAAGGAATGTCAGATGTTCACTTCCTCTGTTTTCTTCTAGTTTTATAGTTTTCGGCTTTATATTTAATCTTTAATTCACAAGTGTGTTTATTCTTGTATATGATGTAAGAAAGTGAGCCAATTACTTTTTTTTTTTTTTGCATGTATCTGTCCAGTTTTACCTGCACCATTTTGAAAAGACTGTCTTTACCCCACTGCATATACTTGCCTCCTTTGTCACAGATTAATTGAACATATAAGTGATGGTTCTTTTCTGGGCTCTCTGCGTGTCCCATTGAACTGGGTGTCTGCTTATATGCCAGCACCATGTTGTTTTTATTAGTGTAGACACTGTTGTATAGTTTGATATCAGGGAGTAGGATGCCTCCAATTTTGTTCTTTCTCAAGACTTCTTTGGATATTTACCCACAAAATAAAATTTCCCTGAGTCCAAAAACCTGTAAAAGAGGCTGTAAACTCTAGATTAGGGGATTCCATTGAATGTGGACATTGCTTTAGGCAGTAAGGACATTTTAATAATATTAATCCTTCCAACCCATGAGCATGGTATATCCTATCCTTCCATTTATTTGTATCCTCTTCAATTTCTTTCTTCAGTGTCTTATAGTTTTCAGTCTATAGGTCTTCAATTTCTTTGGTTAAATTTATTCCTGGATATTTTATGCTTTGTGGATAAACTTATAAATGAGATTTTTAAATTTTTCATTATTGCTGTATAGAAATTCAACAGGTTTCTGATTTTCTATCCCTGTAACCTTACTGAACTCATGGTTTGCTTCTGATGTTTTTTTTTTGTGTGTGTGGAATCCTCAGGTTTTTTCGATATATTGCATCATGTTCTCTGCAAGTAGTGAGGGTTTTACTTTTTCTTTTCTGATTTGTATGCTTTCTATTTCTTTGTCTTGTCTGACTACTGTGGCCAGGACTTCTAATACTGTGGGAACACAAGTGGTGATAGTGGGAATTCTTGTCTTATTCCTGATCTTAGTTATTACAGAATAACTTTTCAGCTTTTTAAAAAAATTTAATATATTTTATTGATTTTTTCACAGGGAGGAAGAGAGAAGGAAAGAGAGTTAGAAACATCGATAAGCTGCCTCCTGCACACCCCCTACTGGGGATGTTCCAGCAACCTTGACAGGAATCGAATCTGGGACTTTTCAGCCCCCAAGCCTATGCTCTATCCCTCTATCTGCTGAGCCAAACCGGTTTCAGCTCAGCTTTTCACCATTGAGTATTATCATAACTGTAGGCTTAGGAATCATGTTCTTAATAAAAATTTTTGTTATTATTACATAACTGGATCTAATTTGGGAATTTCAATTGTATCTATATTTATTATTGTAGATTTTACTATGGTGAACAGTATAAAATATAAACCTTAGTGCTAATGTCTGAAATCTTTAAGAGTAGTGCCTGCAAGAGGAACTACTAACCCTAACCTAACCAAACCCTAACTCTAACCCTACATTCCTATGTAGCAAAGTATGTGGTTCCCATTAAAATTTATTTAAATTTTATTTATTTTTACTTTGAAATAGTTTATAATCAAGAATAAAATCAAGCCAGAACCGGTTTGGCTCAGTGGATAGAGCATCGGTCTGTGGACTGGAAGGTCCCAGGTTCGATTCTGGTCAAGGGCATGTACATTGGTTGCGGGCACATCCCTGGTGTGGGGTGTGCAAAAGGCAGCTGGTCAATGTCTCTCTTTCATCGATGTTCCTAGCTCTCTATTTCTCTCCTCTCCCTTCCTCTCTGTAAAAAATCAATAAAATATATTTTTAAAAAAAGAATAAAATCAATAGTTATCCCCCCAAATCAGTGGAAATAGATTCCCCTCTCTTTCAATTTAAAATTTCAAACATTTAGATAATTCAGAAAGTACAGGGAGCAGAGGCCTCCAGCTGTTTCTCTGAGTGCAGGGAGAGCCCCTGGAGGCTCAGGAGAGGTGAAGTGAGGGAGCAGGAACGTGTGGGCTGTGGTGTGGAGCATAGACTGAGGGGCCCAGTGGAATCGGGGCTCAAAGAGGGGGATCCTGTATTAATGAGAGTGAAATGCTCAAGGCACGGACAGGCTGTCCCAGGAAGTGTGGGCAGGTGGAGGCTTCTGAGCCCATTGGAGGCAGAGCCCAGGACTCCCAGGTGGCCAGGGCCAAGGGACGTACACTTAAGGTTCATACTTTAGGGTCGTTTTCTATGTTGGAGTCAAAGGTGAAGAGACTCCCAAGTAGATATTTGAGAGGAAGCTCTGGGGTCACCAGTGATGGTGGTTGCACGGGGAATCGGCCCTGGGGAGGCAGAGGTCTCATGTGGATTCTCCATCTTCCTCCAGGTCATCATTTCTACCCACTCCTCCTGGTGTCTCTCTGTCTGCACAACAGCCCACAATGGTGAGGTCCCTGGCCTTCCATCTGCTCCACCTCCCCATCTGCCTCGCCTTGGTCCAGCTGCTCACGCCCTGCTCAGGTAGGAGCATCTGCATTTATGTGCCTGGAGCAGTTGCCTCTAATGCCCAGTCAGAACCTTGGACTCCTCCCCACACCTGGGAGGCCCATCCAGACTGTACACCTGTCAGGACTGAGTGCCTGTCTAGGTGTTTCTTACCTCACCCTCCCAGCCTGGGACACCCCCCTAACCCCTGGCCTCCAGCTCCCTCTGATGCAGCACCCCTTTCTGCTCACCAGCTCAGTTTGCTGTGGTTGGACCCCCTGAGCCCATCCTGGCCATGGTGGGTGAAGTCGCTGAGCTGCCCTGTCACCTGTCCCCAATGATGAGCGCTGAGACCATGGAGCTGATGTGGCGGCGAACTGAACTCAGGCAGGTAGTGTGTGCATATGCAGATGGCAAGGAAGAAACAGAGATAGCAGAGTATCAAGGGAGAACTTCAATTTTAAGAGAGGACATCACTGAGGGGAAGGCTGCTTTGCGGATTCTCAATGTCAGAGCCTTTGACAGTGGAACCTACCAGTGTTTTTTCCAAGATGGTGATTTCCTTGCAAAAGCCCTGGTGGAGCTGAAGGTTGCAGGTGAGCCTGAGGTTGTTCTCAGCTGCTTCTTCTGTGGGGCCTGGGGACACAGGACACGCCCACCTCACAGACTTCTGCCTGCACACCAGCAGCTGCCTCCCTCCTCCACCTCTGCTTCTCTGGGCCCTTGACAGACACAGGTTCTCCTGCAGAAAGGGCTCCTCCTGAACCATGTGAAGACGCCCCTCCTGCAGCCACCAGGGTCTCAGCAGGGATGTGGGCTGAGGAAACTCCTCTCAGTGGGGGGCACACACATGAGTGGGTTCAGTAGTGTTCCAGGCAGTGGACCTGGGCCCCCGAGGTGCTCGCTGCTGTGGGTCCAGGGAGGCTGAGCTGCAGGGACATCACCTGTGCTGCCATGTCCTCCAACTAAGGCCCCAGGATCACACAAGCAGTTGAACAAGTTGAGTTTAGGACTAGTTTCAGTGAGAACAAACAGGTGTGAAAACATAAGATGTCCCCATGAGGGACTGTCAGGGAGACTTGGTATAATGTTTGGGCTGATAGGGAACTAGGGGAGGGTGTATGAAAGGAGGGCTTTGCTCTGAATCAGATGCAGTCAGGAAGGTGTGGGGTGTAACTGGTCACTCACAGCCAGGACAGGGGATGTTTGCTGGTTGCTGTGGTCTGGACACTGTTCATATGTTATTCTGTGTTCAGACCTGATGACTGAGTGGTCTTGTTTGGTCCTGACCCATTACGGGGACAAAGCAGCTTTGTCTGATGTTGCTTTTCCATGAAATGGTTCATGTCCAACATAATTTCTCTTTCTCAGGGCACAGCCCTGCCTTGCACAAGAAGGAAGGAAGGTGGGGTGGGAGGTCCTAGCTCCCTCCCTGCAGGGCCTCCTCAGCCAGCTTTAGTCCCTTCCTGAGACCACAGCTCCTCTTAAGAAACCCCTCCCTACAGGACTGGGTTCTTGCAAGTCTTCAAAAGGCTTCCTCCCCGCTCCCTGGGTTAAGAGTTTAGGGACTGGTGGTAACAGCTCACTGTTCCTGGCCCTGGGTCAGCTCTCTCCCCTGTAGTCATTCCCCTTAAACAACCACAAAATAAAATTCCCCTGAGTCCAAAGACCAGAAAAAGAGGCAGTAAACTCTAGATTAATTATATCAACAGTTCACCACAGTGACTTTCATACCAGGAACAGTGTGGGCAGCAGCAATACAATGTGCATATCCTCCCCTCCACCTGGCAAAGCCTCAAGCTCACACAGGACAGGCAGGAGAGATAGGGGACAGGGGCATGACCCGCCCCGATAAGGGGAATGACTTACATGCTTAGGGTGGGTGAGGGCCAGTTCCAGAAACCAGCACTGGACAGCGGGAGGAGTCTAGGTGTCTCTGAGGGTATCCAGATCCAGCTGGATCCAGCTTGAGGGTCCATGAGGGTCAGGCAATGGTAACTTCATGGAACAGTCTCCCCCTCACAGCACACATGGCAAACAGCACCTTATGAACCCTGCCTGTGTGACCTAGTGGGGTGTGCCCCATTCCTGATGGGATCCTCCCCAACACAGAGGCCTCCCCATGACTCAGGCTTCTTCTTCCTTCCCCAGCCCTGGGCTCTGATCTTCACGTTGACATGAAGGGCTATGAGGATGGAGGGATCCGTGTGGAGTGCACGTCTGCAGGCTGGTATCCGCAGCCCCACATAGAGTGGAGAGGTGACGGGGGAGAGAGCTTGCCCGCCATGACAGCGCCTGGGGCTACAGATGGAGAGGGTCTGTATGCAGTCACGTCATCTGTGATCCTGAAAGGCGGCTCTGGAAAGGGGGTCTCCTGTGTCGTCAGAAACCCCCTGCTCAGCCAGGAGAAGACAGCCAGGGTCTCCATTGCAGGTGAGTGCCCGGCCCCACATTGAGCTCAGCTGTGGCCACTGGGAGAAGGAGTCCTGACTGTCTTCTGCTGACCTGGGTCTGTGCAGTGAACATAGGCTCAGGGCAGGCACCTGGGGGCCCTTTGCCCCATAAAGCTTTTTATGTCACAGACTTTTTCTGAGCATCCTAGCTGCCACCCACTGCAACAGGCAATGGATGGGGAAATGGTAAAGATCAGCAAACACCTGACAAAGTGGGGAAATATGTGCAGACATATCCTGGAGAAAGGGATAATCTCCTCAAACACAGAACAGCTCAGTATAAAATGAATGGTTCCCAGAAGGAAATACCTGGGAAAGGATGTCCCGTCTCATTGAACAGGAGACGTTCCCACCTGTGAGATTGGCAGCAAACAGAACCATGTTGTTGGTAACACTGATGGCAGGATTGTGGGGAGACAGTCACTCTTAGACATGTGTTGGTATAATTTGGTATATTTTTGTATAAATTGACACAGCTTATATTGGGGAAGTAGAACAATCTTAATCCAACATATTTATTTATTGACCCAAATCCCAGTTCTAGGAATTTATCTGACAGATCAGCTTGGGGTTGTGTGAAATAACTGATGGACAAAGTTATTTCTTTAAAAAATATATTTTTATTAATTTCAGAGAGGAAGGGAGAGGGAGAGAAAGAGAGGAAGATCAATGATGTGAGGGAATTATAGGTTGCCACCTGCATGCCCCACACTGGGGACCAAACCCACAACTCAGGTCTGTGCCTTTGGCCAGGATCAAACCTGGAACCCTTCAGTCCACAGGCCAATGCTCTGTCCACTGAGCCAAACCTGCCAGGGCACAAGGTTATTTCTTAGAGCATCAGTTATAATAACAAAAGTCAGAGACAGTGCAAAGGCCACCCATGGGGACTCCTGTGCTGTGGAGGCTGCCCTGTGGGAGAAAGCACAGACGTGCTCTCCATGCGAAGAGGGAAAGGTCCCAGGACCCACGGTGCACTGAGAAAAAAGCTGTGGAGCAGCTTGCGTAGGTGCTGCCTGTGGTATAACCAAGAAGAATAGAAGATTTTATATATATATGAATATATATATATATGTGTGTGTGTGTGTGTGTGTGTGTGTGTGTGTGTGTATGTGTGTGTGTGTTTATAGTATATATGTTTAAGAGATTTCAGTTCAGGCATTATTATTTCAATGTAATGCAATATTTTTCTTTTTCTCTTTTTCTCTAAAGTTTTACAAATATCTCCATTTCCCATGATTGATCAATCCCCCACTTCCCCAGTCATTCCCACCCAGGGCAAGCCCCCACTGTACCAGTGTCTGTGTCTATTGGTTAGGCTAATATGCATGCATACAGGCCCTTTGGTTGCTCTCTAACCCCCAAGTCTCCTGCCATTTGTCTCTGGATCTATTTTTGTTCATCAGTTTATGTTGATCATTATATCCCACATATGCATGAGTTCATGTGATATTTATCTTTCTCTGACTGGCTTGTTGCACTCAGCATAATGCTCTCAAGTTCCATCCATGCAAATGGTAAAAGTTTCTTTCTATTTTTATAGTGGCATCATATTCCATTGTGTAGATATACCACAGTTTTTGAATCCACTCATCTGCTGATGGGCATTTAGGTTGTTTCCAAATCTTAGCTACTGTCAATTGTGCTCTATGAACATAGGGATGCATGTGTCCTTTTTGATTTGTTTCTGGTTTCTTGGGATATAGCCCTAGTAATGGGAATACTGGATCAAATGGGAGTTCCATTTTTAACTTTTTGAGGAAACTCAATACTATTTTCCATAGAAGCTGCACCAATCTGCATTCCTACCAGCAGTGCACAAGGGTTTTGGGTTTTGTCAAATGCTTTCTCTGCATCAATTGATTCCTACCATAAAAATCCTACAAAAAAAGGTAGCAGAAAAGTAGCAGACATATGTAGTAGCAATATCTTTACCAACATATGTAGTAGCAATATCTTTACTGACATATGTAGTAGCATATATATTCATCAAGGATATTGGCCTGTAGTTCTCTTTATTGTGTGTGTGTGTGTGTGTGTGTGTGTGTGTGTGTGTGGTGTCTTTATCTGGTTTTGGAATTAGGGTAATGCTGGCTTCATAGAAAAAGCTTTGAAGTGTACCTTCCTCTTGTGTTTTTTGGAATAGTTGAGGAGGATAGGTTTTAATTCTTCTTTACATGCTTGGTAGAACTCCTCTGTAAAGCCATCTGGACCAGGAGTTTTGTTTGCTGGAAGATTTCTGATCAGTGCTTCAATTTCTTTGGTGGTTTTTTTATGTAGTCCCATTCAGTTTTTTATTCTTCCTGATTGAGTTTTTGGAGTTTGTATTTTTCTAAAAAATATGTCCATTTCATCTAGGTTGTTCATTTTGTTAGAATAGAGTTGTTCATTGTATTTTTTCATAATCATTTGTATTTCTGTGGGATGGGTTGTTACTTAACCTCTTTCTTTTCTGATTTTTTGTTTTGTTTTGTTTTGTTTTGTTTTTGTTTTTTGGGTCCTCTCTCTTTGCTCCCTGGTGAGCCTGGCTAGAGGCTCGTTAATCTTGTTTCTCCTATCAAAGAACCAACTGTTGGCTTTGTTGATCTTTTGTATTGTTTTATTATTTGACTCTACGTCATTTATCTCTGCTCTCATCTTTATTGTTTCCTTCCTTCTGCTTATGTTGGGCTTTTCTTGTTGTTCTCTTTCTAATTCTTTCAGTTGTAGGCTTAGATAATTTATTATCATTGTTTCTTCTTTTTTGAGGTAGGCCTGTAGAGCTATGAACACCCCTCTCAAGACTGCTTTCAATGTGTCCGATAGATTTTGGATTGTTGTGTTTTCATTGTCATTTGTTGCTATGATTCTTTTTATGTCTTCTTCAATCTCTTTGGTAACCCAATCATTGTTTAATAGCATGCTATTTAGCCTCCATGTTTTTTTTAAAAAAATTATTTTTATTGTAATTGTTTCTAATTTTAAGCCATTGTAATCTGAGAAGATGCTTGATATGATTTCTATTTTCCTGAATTTGAAGAGCTTTTGCCTGTGCTCCAATATGTGGTCTATCTTTGAAAATGACATGTATGCACTTGAGAAGAATGGATGTTCTGTGGCTTTGAGGTGAAATGCTCTGAAAATGTCAATATCATCTGATCTATGAGTCATTTAATATTGATGTTTCTTTGCTTATTCTTTGTTTAGAGAATTTGTTCATTGGTGTTAATAGGATATTAATATCTCCTGCAATGGCTGCATTGCTTTAAATCTCTCCCTTGATATCTTCCAGAAGTTGTTTTATGTATTTGGATGCTTCTGTATTGCATGCATATGTGTTTCTCTCCCTTTAGTATTATGAAGTGGCCTTCCTTAACTCTTGTTATGACCTTCACATTGAGGGCTAACTTGTCAGATATAAGTATTGCTAGCCCAGCTTTTTTTTTTTCATTTTCATTTTGATTCATCTGAAAAACCCTTTTCCATTCCTTCACCTCAGCCTGAGACCTTTGTTCCGAGACAAATCTCCTATAGACTGCAGGTATATGGGTCATGTTTTCTTTTCTTTCTTTTTAAAAAAATATATTTTATTGATATTTTACAGAGAGGAAGGGAGAGAGATAGAGAGCTAGAAACATCGATGAGAGAGAAACATCAACCAGCTACCTCCTGCACACCCCCTACCGAGGATGTGCCCACAACCAAGGTACATGCCCCTGACCGGAATCGAACCCAGGACCTTTCAGTCCGCAGACGGACGCTCTACCACTGAGCCAAACCGGTTTTGGTGGGTCATGTTTTCTTATCCATTCAGCTACTCTATGTCTTTTGATTGGGCATTTAATCCATTTACATTTAAAGTTATTATTAATAGGTACTTGTATGTCATCATTTTATTCTTCATGCCTGTGTTCCCTCTTTCCTTACAATATCTTCTTTTGACAGAAGACCCTTTAGCATTTCTTGCATTGCAGGTTTAGTAATAAACTACCTGAGTTCTTTTTTGTCTGTGAAGCTCCTGATTTCACCCTCAACTTTGATTGATAGCCTTGCTGGGTACAGTATTTTTGTTTTCAGACCTTACTTTGCATGACTTTGTACATTTTTTCCATTCCCTTCTGACCTTATATGTTTCTGTTGAGAAATCAGTTGATAGTCTGTTGGGAGATCCCTTGTAGATAACTTACTGTGTCTCTCAGCATCCTTTAAGATTCTTACTTTGTCTTTGGTGTTTGCCAATTTAATTAAATTGTGCCTTGGTGTCAGTCTTTTTGGGTTCATTTTGTTTGGGACACTGTGAGCTTCTTTGACTTGTGTGAGATTTTTCTTCCCTTTATCAGGGAAGTTTTCTGTCATTTCTTCAAACAGGTTTTCTTTTCCTTGCTCAGTTTCCTCTTTTTCTGACACCCTTCTTTTGCAGATGTTCATGCTGTCCCAAAGTTCCCTTATGCTCTCCTGTTTTTTAAGTTATTTTTCCAATTGCTGTTCTGCTTGAGTATTTTTTCCTATCTTGTGTTTTAGCTCACTGATTCTGTCTTCCACTTCTTCTAGTCTACGTTGATGCTTTCTATTGTGTTGTTTATTGCAGTGATTCATTCTTCATTTCTTCTTGGTTCTTCTTCATTTCCTCTTGATTCTTACACATATTGTTGAATTTGTATTCCATCCTTTTCAGTGTCCTTATGACCATTGCTCTGAATTATTTCTCTGACAAATTACTTGCCTCCATTTCATTTACTTTCTTTTCTGGTGATTCATCCTTTCCTTTTGTATGAGGTCTATTTTTCTATCTCCCCATGTTGGCTCCTCTCAGGGAATCTGGTTATGTAGTTCTCTCTCTCTCCTGCATTGACTTAAAGTCACAAAATACAACACAACAAGATGCAACACGCAGAGCACCAAACACAAATGGATTCACGATACCAATAACTCAGAATAAAGGGGACCACCAGAGAAAAGAGAATTAGGGGAGAGAAAGAATGCAAAAATTATATTGAGAAAAGAAAAAAAATGTGAGAAAAGGAAGAGAAGAAAAAGAAGGGGGAAATATCTTTCTATGGAGAGAAAACTAAAAACAAATAAACAAACAAAACAAAACAAAAAACACAAAAAAACCACCACACAACTAATCCAAAAAATGAAAACAAAAACTCCCAAATGAATCTGAAGAGGCAGAGCTTATTTATCTCTCATGTAATCTCTGACCTTTCTGTCCATGGATTGCCTCACCAGCTTTGTTTAATTCTCCAATTCTGGGCTGGTGTTATTCGATGCAGCTGTTTTTTCCATCTGTTCTGTGAGAAGGTGCAGGACTCCTCCGAGTATTTTCCTCCACATTGTCTCCCCTGGACAATCTTTCTAGGAGCACTTAGCCAGGGAGGCTGGCGTCTCGGTGTTTGTGGGCTCCCAGCTGAGGCAGCTGGTCCCTGGGCATTGTGATTGTAGGGTCCCAGGAGGTATCTGAGGTCTCCCTGTTTGAAGGTAAGGCTGGGCTTCTGGTCACAGCTGCTCTCCTCTTCAATATGGTGTGGTGTCTGCTGCAGAGTCTACTGCTCTGGAGCGGTTTCAGTAGCAGTAGAGACTGCCCGGCCAGGAGAGCCTGGTCCACCAGTCCCACAGTCATGTGGAATATAGCTGTCCCTGACTCACACAAACAGACACTCCCCCAACATCTAAGCACTCTCCTTTCGCTCTCTCACTCACACACTATCTTGCAGCCTACCTTCCCATCATTGACATCTTAGATCTCAAAGATGTCTATGTTTTTGAAATGAATAAATTCTCACATGGCCCTGACATTTTGTCAGGGACTTTAGAGCATTAATTGAATGATGTACCATTTAGGACACTGAGAACAGATAGGCTAAATCAAGTGGTTGGCAAACTTCAGCTCGTGAGCCACATGAAGCTCTTTAGCCCTTTGAGTGTGACTAATTAGGGTACTCTAATAAGTTAATAACAATGTACTAACTTATAGTTTAAGATAAAAAAAATTTTGGCTCTCAGAAGAAATTTCAATCATTGTACTGTTGATATTTGGATCTGTTGACTAATGATTTTGCCAATCACTGGGCTAAGTCATTGGCTCAAGATCACAGAGCTGCTCAGGCAGAAGACCCAGAATGTGACCCCATGACCTCCAGCCCCAAAGGCCACCTTCTAAGTCAGCAGGTTAAGCCGCTGATGAGATACTGATAAATGGGGGAGGGGCGGAGAGGAGATGCCAGTGACTATATGTACATTATATTTGAGCTATTCCCATGTGAGAGCCAGATATTAAGACACTGGTCTATGTGATGGGCAGAGTTATGGGCATGTTAGGAAGATAAATGTCCTTGCCCCTCCCGAGAGAACTCCCACCTCTTTGGGCGAGCAGCTGACTTTTCCCTCCACAGGCCCCTTCTTCTCCAGTGCACAGCCCTGGCTGGTGGCCGTGGGGGTGACCCTTCTGGCTCTGCTGTGGCTCCTGGCTGGGGTGGTGATCTCATGGTGGCAACAGCAGAAGAGAATCCAGGACTTGATCCAAGAGATGGAGAGGGAGCGAGCTGAGAAAGAAGCAGCACTGGCTGAGAAGCAGCAGGAGCAAAGAAAGGTGAGGTCTGGCTGCAGGTGGGTGGGACCTCCACACCCCAGGCCGCCCACCCACCCATGCAGGTCCACCCTTCAGTCCCGTGACAGCACCTTCTCTTTCTGCTTGTTTCCAGAGAAGCTGCAGGAGGAGCTCAGTAAGTCCTGATCCCCCGCCAGATCTCCTGACACTTGAGTTCTGGGGTCTCTGGTTACCTCCTCACCCACCCCTCCCATTTCCCCCTGCAGGAAGTACAAAGCAGAAGTACCTGGCACGTGAGTACCTGGACCCTCATCTGAGACTCTCTGCTGGGACCTGTCCAGCCCCTTCTCACCCCTGACAACCCAGGGGAAGAAAGATCCTCATGGGGTGGTTGGACAGGGTTTCCTCCCTGGAGAAAGGGGTCAGGCTCTCTCCACCAGGCCCCCTACACCTAGATGTCCAGGGAACTCCAGAAATGAGAGGGGAGATGGACTCAGAATGGCAGGTCCTCCTTCCCTGGCTGCTCTACAGGATCTATAGGCTGCTGAGAGGAAACCAGAAGGAGAGAGAACATTCTCTTCAAGAGGAGGGGCTGGTGTAAGTTGTCCCAGATTTACCATAACTGCTGAAAAGCGGTGTCTGAAATTCTCTCACTAAGTCACCCAAATCTTTTCGGAAAATGACAGGAAATCAAGCATACTGAGGTGGATGGTTTCTAGCACAAACATGCATACAGTATGCACACGGCAAGCCTAGCCAGGTACAGGGTAAGACAGTCACCTCAGATGCCAGGGGCATGGGATCCATGACCCAAGTGGGTGCCAGACACACGGACAGCACCACACCCTGTGTATAGTAAGCTTCTCCTTCTCCCTTAAAGGAAGGCTTCTCATTGCCACACCCCAATGGCCAGCATCACTGCAGTTGACGGGTGATTACTAAGGAACAGAAGGGGACTTTCACACAAGCCCTGTGAAGCTGAGGCAGATCTGACCATAGAGCCGGCTCCTCAGTGACTAAGTGGCTCCTGGGAGGAAACAGGGTGGACATGCTGGGCACAGGGATGGTTCTCAGGTTGGCATGTCAGAGATGGATGGCACAGGATTTCAACATGCTACTAGGAATGATGTGCAATTTAAAACCTATGAATGGCTTATTTCTAGAATTTTCCATTTAATATTTTCCAACTGTGGTTGACAGAGGGTAACTGAAACTTCAGGAAGGGAAATGATGGTTAAAAGTGATTGCTATTCAGACACATACAGGACAGACCTGCAGGTGCAGCTGGGACAGCCCCATTGGTGCCTGTGGGTCATTGGGTGCAGGTGACCTTAAAGAGGAGAGGGAGCAGGGCACTGAACAGGCAGAGGGAGGGAGGTGGGGTCAGCAAGAAGAGAGAGGAGAGGAGTCAGAAAGGACAGGTGAAGTGACTGCCTGTCTTCCTTTGCAGGTGACAAGGCTCAGGCCTATGCAGGTGAGTGACTAATGCTCTCTGGTTCCTGACACCTGTGTACAAAGCCCTTCAACAATTTCTGTGCTGCTGAGGCATCATCAGAGCCTGCTCAGAGCTCATGTTCTGTGGAGGACCACCCTGTCTTTCTGCACACCCAGAGGACCTTCCAGATATAGCGTCCCCTCACCTGCTGCCACACACCCACACCTGGGCAAGGCCTGGCCCTGTCACCCTCAGCCCCACTCTGATGGAGGGAAGCCCACATTTTGAGAGCTTTTATGCCTCATCCTCAGAGCTGTGGTGGAAGGAAACTAGATTTTGGTGGGAAGGAGAGGGAAGAGGCTAAGTGAGGAGAATGTTGGGGGATGGGGGGAGGGGGAAGAGAAATGATGACCTTTCCTTGCCTGTGTCTCCTTCCTTTCAGAGTGGAAGATGGACCTTTACCAACCTGGTGAGTGGATGACTGCGTTCCCTGGGCTAACACACAGGGGCCTAGCTCCCTTTTTCTTCTCCAGCTCTTAACTGGGGGACATCGAGGTGGGTGGCATGAGGTGAGGTCCCCAAAGTGTGCCCATGTGCCTCCCAGAGAGCCAGGGACAGCTGCTGTCCTGGGCTTCCCAAAGTCCATGTGGGATGGATGAGGCATGAGGGGTACAGCTGGGGGCAAGGGCTGGAAAGAGATGGAGAAGGTGACCTGGCCCAGCTGATGCCCCTCCTTCCCTGAGCCTCCTCAAGGTGTGCCATGCCTCTGAGATGATGGTGGTTATTCCTACTATGTGACGGTGGAGGTAAGACTAGACAAGGTGATGAGTGTGTGTTGGTCAAAACTCCAAGAGTGAAACCTTGGCCTGTTCATGATGGGTGTGTGTCTGACAGTATGACCACAGTCAGGAGAAGGTTCTTAAGAACTTTTAAAACTGATGTAGGTGTTAGGTGTTATAATAGACTGTGTTATAGAGTCATTTACTCACAGGTGTGTGGGGGTGGGCTGGACAGACTACATATCAGTTTGCACAGACTTTCACCACTAACAGACCTGTTACAGTACATTGTTTTACAGTAAAACTTGGGTACTAAAGATGGACAGGACAAAGGGACAAGGAGTGTGGCAGCACCAACCATCCCTCCTGTGGTCTTGTGGTGGGTGCTTCTTTATAAGGGATACCATCACGTTTGGTGTTGACCTCCGTGGTCATGTCATTGTAGTGTTACTAACAAAACTGTTTATGGCTGCATTTTATGGAACACATATCACCATCACCCTGAAGGCTTTGGTGTGCATACTAAGGACAGTGAGGATGGTCAAAGGTCACAGCTTGAAAAAATGAAGGAAGTCCCAGACAAAGAGATGGAATTCATTTGATTCAGCCACATCTACCCAGTGATTACAGAGGGTCCAGGGAAGGGCCTACTTGCAGAGGCCGGGGTGGTGTTAAGGGAAACCACAAGGATGAGCAGTGCCCTGAGCTCACAACAGTGGGAGCTGTTACCACCCCCAGGCCCCAGGCAGAGGGATGGAGAGCAGTCACTGGACGCTGAGGAGGCTGGGGCTCAGGGAGAGGCTGCCTGGGATGAGGTGTGCTCTGTTGGAGCATCTCCATCACAGGAAGTAGGGAAGTTGGGGCTATGCCTCGCTTTCCCTCCATTCAGTTCTCAGCCAGTACCTGCCCTTGGCTAAAGCCAACAGGTGACCAGAGGCAGTGAGCCCAGTGATGCTGCCCAAGGGGGCCGGATTCCTGGGCAAAGAGCAGGGGCAGGTGGGGAGTGAAGGTCACCTAGAGCCCAGCATGGCCCCAGCACAGCAGAGACCTGGTTGCTGTGATCACACCACATGCTTCCTCAAGGGGCCACTTGAGATGCGGGTTAGGCAGACCCAAGCCCTCCTCACCCTCCCCTTCCTCACTGAACACCAGGCCCTGTGGTTTCTCTTGCTTTGCTGAGGGTCACACTCAGGGCAGCTGGGACCCCAGACTCTGGGCTTCCGTCTCACCAACCAGACCCAAGCCTTGGAGTCTGAGGCTTTCAGGTTCGGAAACCATAGCTGACTGTACATCATTGGAACTCTCTGCAGCCGACGTGATTCTGGATCCAGACACCGCGCACCCCAACCTCCGTATTTCTGCGGACCAGCGGAGCTTGCAGTACACAAGTACATGGCAGAACCTGCCAGACAACCCCAGGAGATTTCAGGATCGTTACTGCGTGCTGGGCCGTGAGAGCTTCATGTCAGGCAGACACTTCTGGGAGGTGGAGGTGGGGGACAGGAAACAATGGCAATTCGGGGTGTGCAGGGAAAATGTGCAGAGAAAACATTATGTTAAAATAACACCCCAGAATGGATTCTGGACAATAGCACTTTTGGGTGGGTATGACTTCCAGGCTCGAACGGATCCCCGGAGCAAACTCACAATTGCCAACCCTCCCAAAAGAGTGGGGGTTTTCCTGGACTATGAGAACGGGGAGGTCTCCTTCTATGATGCCATCAATGGATCGCACATCTTCACTTTCTCACATGCTTCCTTCCATGGGGCTCTGTGGCCTGTTTTCAAGCTTTTCTCAGAGGAGCCCACTGCCTTGACCATTTGCCCAGCAAAAGAATGTGTTGGGAATTACCTTGGGTCTAACCCACTGCCTGGCCTTTCCCTGGAGACCCATGTGGCCTCAGGCTCAGCTGATAGCAATGAGGACCCTCAGGCAGAACTACAGCCTTTGCTTGCCCATGCCCAGTCCCGAGCTGAGGGGCTACTTAACAACAAAACTTCTCAGCAAGAACATCTTTGCTAAAAAATCACCGAGTGAAGCACTTTACTAGTTATCTTTTAACTTTTCTATATGTCAGATGAAAAGACCTGGTTGCAGGAAGTTAACTTTCCAAAAGTGACTCAGCTCCCTTCCTGCCACCATAGCTCACACTCACAGATACCTTAGAATGTGGTGGGTGTTGGGCTAAAGACTTCAGGTGACTTTCACTCACCAATCCTCACAGCACCCTGTGAGGTGGCCACATTGAGCATGTGGTAAGGGAGGCAGGGCCCAGGGAAGTGACATGTAATTCATGCAGGAAGCAGTGCTGCTGGGAGGTGTTTGACCTCTGCCTCTACCTCCAGTCTGTTCCTTTGTAGCCAATTATTCCTGTTGGGTAGGGTCATGGGCAGCCTGAGGTTCCCTTCTCTGGGCCTCAGGGTAAAGCTCACTGTAGGTGACTGTGAAGGCCACACCCACCTGATTTCTTCAAGGAGGACTGTCAGAGCCATGGCCCACTGCTCCATTGGCTGACTGGCAATGATGACGTCATCCACAGAAGGAATTCACAGTGACCACACCACATGGGGCTGAGAAAGGACCAGAGGCCATGAAGCCCAACCAACCCCCCAGCTTCATCCCTGAAGCTCACGTGTGAGGCATGAATTGGGGAGGAGCCAGGTGCACGGCAGTGGACTTCTCACACTGTAGCCCCATCTCCAGGAAAGGGACACTCCACACTGAGCATGGGTTGATGTTCCCAGAGGCTCTTTAATTGTTGTTTCCTGTGGAAAAGCCACACCATCACCATCATTGTAATTGGTCACCACTGTGTCCCCTCCACCCTACAGGTGGTTGTCAGGATGCAATTTTTTTTTTTTTTTTTTAGGATGCATTTGTTAAATAAATTGGTGAATAATCTTCACTTTGCAAATGAGCTTCCTTTAGATTTTCACTCCCACAATTTACCCATCACATTGTCACAAAATTCTTGTTGTATTAGCTGTGTATGCTGTTGTAATAAAACCACAAACTTCATGACCTAATGCAGCACAGATTCCTTACTTCACATTTCTGTCGGTGAGAAGCCCAGCATGGCCATGGCTGGGCTGACACCCAGGTGTCTGCAGGCCGGGCTCCTTTCTGGAGGGTCTAGGGAGCAGTCTGATTCTTGCTCATTCTGGTTGTTGGCAGAATTGAGTGTCCTGTAGTTGAGGGATCAAGGGTGCCATTCTTTGCTGCGGGTCAGAAGAAGCTGGGAACCCTCCAGGCTGGGAGCATCCGGAGTTGTTGTCCCAGGAGGCAAATGTGAGGAAATAAGTCAGGTGAAGTGAATGGCCATGGGTACAGAGTCCAGTCCTGGAATAACTGCTAGTGGGACTGATGCTCATGTACTGACTGCAGAGTTGAACTTAGAAGGTGTGTGTTGTAAAGTACCCGGTGAGTAATACAAAGGACGCAGAACCAAATCAATGAGGCATTTATTCAGTAAAGCCAGCAACTGTGAGGGAGATGTGGCTCCAAATCTCACACTCACGAATGGCGGGAACATCAGGCTTAATAGGCAAATATCACAAAGGTATCAATTACATCTTCAGGTTTGGAATGAGGAACCTGGTTTGCAAAAAACATTTACAGAAACTAAATTGAGCAAGTTAGTTATCTACAAAGATTAATTATAGTTTTAGTTCTGGGAGCCACTGAGTCAACGGAAAACTTTCCCGGAGCCACGGAGTAAAGGAAAGCAATTTCTGGTTCTGGTCCTCAGACACAGGAGAATAGCCTTTGTGATGTGGGCCAGCAACATTCTGGGTGATTTATGTGAGTATCCAGGTCTCTGTCTGGAACTGAGGTTACTACCCTATTGTTTATGCAAGCAGGTGTGTACAGAAGCCAGAATGGCAGGGTTTGAGTTTAAACAGCAGTTTTTACCCTAGATGAATGCCACAAGGTTTGAGTGGAGGCCTCCAGAGAAACAATTAGGCACAAGTGGTGAATGTTAAGAAATCTTCTGTGGGAAGGTTATTCTCGAAGAAATGTACATGTTGGTCTAATGGGGTATGTGGGGTCCAGAAAGGGAGCATCAGGTGGGTGTGGGGTTGCTGGGCCCAGCAGACCATCACCTGGCAGGCAGAGCCTTTGCTGGCTCCCATGGTCCTGTTCTCCTGAGAGAGAGAAAGGGCTTTGGCCTGCCACTCAGTCTCCCAAGGACTCTCACTGAATGCTTTCTGAATGAGTCACAAGTATCCACAACAACTGCTGTCTGCCTCTGTTGTTTACCCCACAGCCCCTCCTGGTGTCCCCCAATATCTTCCCTGCCCCCCACAAGTCTAACAATTTGAATGAAATTCTTTGGCTTTGGGAAGATGGTACTTACATTCACCTCAACACATGCCCACGACCAATTCCTCTAAAAAGAGCAAAAGGAAATAAAAAGGCCAAGTAATCTCACAAGGCTATTAATGCATTTTTCATGCTGAAGCAATTTACTTGTATTCTACCTAGAAATTAGTCAGGACTAGACTTGGCCCAGGGACCTAGAAATGTTTTCTCTGTCCAGGGCCAGGTGTTAATATTTTGGCTAAGACCACAGGGTCTCCTGCACAACCCCTGTTGTAGCACAATCTTAGATGGAAGGGTTGGCTGCTTCTAGTAACCCCTATGAATGGACTGACATTTGAATTTCATAGAATTGGGACACATTACCCAATTAGTTTTAGTTTCCCTGTGTCTCCAGAACAGAAAGACCACTAGGAGGAGGGCTGTAGACTGCTGCTGACTCCTAAACTCAGGACTTTGTTGTTAACTGAGAAATCTCTGTTTAAGCCAAGAACACAATCTGGCAGGACCCCACACGGTGGTGGTGGGAGAGCTGAGGCCTTCAGAGCCTCAAGCCCATTCTCCTACACCTACCACCCTCATCAGTGTCAGTCTTTTCTCTCTCCCTTACATGTGTGTAGTTAAAATGGGAAGTGAAACAGCTCAGAGATGAAGCTTTCCAGGGCGATGGTATCACAGCCGAGTTAAATCTAGAGAGGCCCTTCTCCTAGACCACCTAGTGGGATTCCCGTCATCTGTTGCATTTAGCAACAACTCGGGGCTGATCCAGCTTCTTCTTCACGGGAAACGGGAGGAAGATTCACTTCTCAGGGAGAACCAGTGGAAATGAAGGTGGAGACAGGGCTATGCTCCCTCAACCAGGAAATTCAAAGACTGTCAGGAATCCCTGATGCTAGGGCACAAGTCGGACCACCCTGTGGGGATCCGAATCTCAGGCTTTCTCCCTCCAGAACTGAGAAACAATTATCTGTTTTTGAAGCCGCCCCATTGGTGGCCCTTTGTGCAGCCAGAAGACCCAGGGAACCTACGTGCAGCTGTACAGTGGCTGCCATGGTGTGAGGTGTGGAGTGATCCATACAGAGATGGGGAGGGACAGGCAATAACCCTAAGCCCTCGTATTTAACCTTCTGCATCAGAAAACTCTCTGGGCTGCCTCCTGCCCAGTGAAAGGTTCTTAAACATTAACATGAAGAGAAGTACATTGTTCTCTTTCAAAATTATTTAACAACCATGTCAAACACTCTAACAAAAGGTAAATGTTTGAGGGTCCAAGTCCTGTCTTTGGACAACAAAAGCAGAGCCCACAGGACGTGGGGCCTAATATTTAAGCCATAAGACAACTGTCATAGAGCAGTTCTTCTCCACCTGCAGGTCCTGGGCCATTGAAGGTGTATGAAATCTATC